TTGCATGTATTCACAATTAAATAGCCATTTTTAATAAAATCTACATAGGGCAACTCAAATCTGACAATTACTTATTATATAGATGGTTAATAAACAATAAAAATTACCGTTAGGCAACAATAAACGGTTCTATATAATATTTAAATATACGTTGTTAAATCTTCGCAAATGTATAGTGATATTATAATGCTTTATTCGCCTTATTTACCCTTGAAATTATTGTTGTAAATATGCTATTAACCTAATTTATTTTCACTTATTCTATAATCTTTCGTAAATATATTTTGTTGCTTTCAATAACCGTCTTGTTATGTATAATTCAACTTATGTCTAGAAACGTATTCGCATCGAGGCAGTCTTTTTTATTCTTTCTCTCTCTCTTTCTCTCTCTCTCTCTCTCTCTCTCTCTCTATATATATATATATATATATATATATATATATATATATATGTATAAGAAATCACCACTGTAGTTTTGATATTTATTTGTTAGATGTTAGTATTACAGAAAAATTCGAGATATAAAAAATTATCTTTCTATCGCCATTTCTTTCTTTTTCCTTCTTCTCACTCACACAAATCTTCACTTCGTTACGAATCACCGTCTATAGATACATAATAGCATAAAGTAATGTGTAAAACTAAAATGTTTTAAATAATCATTCCTTCTTCTTTTCTTAATCACACGTATACATTTCATTGCAGACCTAGCACTTCAACTACAATGGCAACGGCTATGGGTTCCTCTGCAGAATGTCAACAACTTTCTTTTGATTCTTCGTCTCTTCAATCAAGGCTACATAAGTAAGTAATTATTTGTTTTGCGTATATCACACAATATAGGGGAACCCGGGGCATAACAGGAACGCTAAGGTTTAATCAAGTTTACAACATATTAACAATAAATAAATAAACTTTGTTTTGTACTAAAATATTCTTTGAAATGTTTCCTATAAGAAAAATGCAAGTTTTACTACACAAGAATAGTTTAAAAAGACGAAATTATTATTTTTTGAAAACGTGAGTTAACCTTACTCTGGATTTTATGCGGGGTATAACGGGATACCTTATAAAACTTATTTTATTCTCAAATATATTAATGTCTAAAACTTGTTAAAAGTAATTTGTCATGACACAATATATGTAAAAATGTATCATTCCATTTTTAATTAATAATAATTATTTATTAATAATTATTACATGGACTTGCTCTTACATGCTCTGTGAGCCACTGACGCCTTACTTCTATGGCTCCGACCCATAATACGCATTGAATAATTTGTAACATTTTTCAGTTAAAAATAATATGAAAACTAATAACAGCACACGGGCAGAGACATATAAGAGCAATAATTTCCATATATTTCGTTACATGACAGCATCTCTGTAAAAAGATATCGATCGTAACCCATTTAGACCTATTATACCCCGTGGTCCCGTTATGCCTCGGGTTCCTCTAATAATATGTTACTTGTTAAATATTAACTTTTCTTTACAAGAATAATTTCCAGCGTTAATATCTTAAATAATTCCATTTCTAATAACAT